TTGGTTAATATTGAGGATAAATGTTTACTAAATGGGGTGTGCGATACCTCCACGGGGTGGACCCTGGGCAAAGTATACTCATACGACAAAAAGTCTATTAACCGGTAGTTGACTTCTGACTAAAAAATACCATGACCCTACTGTATGTCATATTCGACCCCTTCCACAACACTAATTTTACTTTTTCTATGCCTTTGTGTCTGTCTCTTTTACAACTGTGAATCATTATTCTGTCCCTCCTCTCCACTTTTTGTCACATTGATGTTCCTTCTTCTCTGTGAAGCCTGAAGTCAACTAAAAGGCTAACAATAACTATCAAAACGCCTTCCATTCGAAATAAATAAATGTTTACTAAATCTCGTGGTTAGTTTATTGGAAAGTTAGGAGATTCTGCAGAAATGAACAAACTTTAACAATCAGAATGCCCTACCCTTTAGACTAGGTTTGTGGAAAAGTTTAACCTAAAAATGGTCGAAATATTTTGTTGTGAGGTAAATGCCACTTTCAGATAAAATTAATAGATCAAGCAGGTTCAATCATGCTATTTTATGGCAGTCTTCTTATCAGCAGAATGTTTCCTGTATCAAACTTTATTGTCATAAAGTTGGATCAACTTATCCGATATTTAATTTCTACAAAGGATAAGATGCATTATCAAACCTTTGCATTTCATGATATAAGATAATTAAGTCACTTGTGCTATTTGCATTTAAAACATTAAAGGAAATCGATAAAATTTCGTTAGGGCCAATTCAATCTTCTCCAATTTTATAACTTGAATGAGAATAGTCGATGCTAGAAGGAAGGCACATTTTTTCAGCATCTTTGATTCTTTGCTCATTTTTAGTGAGTGCACAGTTCAATTCTCTCCTGCATTTTCAGTTGAAATGAGTGGAAATTCTATGAATATAAATCCATAACCAAGCCGTTAAAACGTCATAACTGAGACAGCATAATAATTGACATATTGCAAAAAAACTTTCAAATCCATTTGCCAGCACCTTAAAATTAGATTATTTTATATATAGATTTTAATTGGATAAGAATTTTCAAAAATATCAAACTTAAGCCTTGAGTCTTGCCATTCACTCCACAGAAAAAATATTTTTAATCAAATTAGAAATATAACAAATTTTATATTAGCATGCCAATATTGAATATAAACACTGCCATAATTTCCTAAGCAGTTATGCGTCGTTAACCACTATCTTATGATGATGTCATTCCCATTACCTTCATAAGGCACTCCCATCTAAGCCACCAAGCACTTTGCTACTGAAGAATTTGCAGCGGGCTGAGCCAGCAACCAGATATGGAAGTAAAATCGTTTACACATTGTGGGTATCAGTGATGGAACTAGCATGACAAGATATAATCGCATTAAATTCCTTTACTGGTTGGGAGCTTAGTGGTTATTTTTTGGCAATTGAAGGTCGTTTCCACTGACTAATTTATACTTTATGCTTTTATGACTATATACCTATATACATATAATATCCTATAGTAAATGCTTATTTAGTTTTAATATCCGACAAACTAGCTAGATTTTAGCGTTGGGCATTATTCAATTAAAAGGCGAGCATTATTCTAATATTTTCTAGTGCATTGAAATAGCAAGAAGAGGTGATATAAGTCACAAAATCCAAACGCCATCCCATAATTTTCTCTTTTAAAGGCAGCAGCAGCAGAAGCGGCAGAAACAGTTTGCCTCCTTCGCTTCCAATTTTTCATAAGTGGAAGGAAGACAGTTATTTTGATGAAAGACTGAAATTCGCACACCCCGCCAATGGGATGCATTTTAACAAGGCGAAGCAAAACCGTCATGCTTAAACTTTCAGGAGTGGAACGCTGAATGTTATTTTGGTTTTACTCAGAGAAGAAAGAAACTACGTGTTTCGTCCATCTTACATTGAGTCGCGACATTAAATCTGATTCACACTCCCGAGGTTAATCAGATAGCGTCTCCCAATATTGGCATTTATTTAAAACAAATCTGTTTTACAATTGCTACTTGCAATTAGAACTCTTAAGATAATTACTAAAGGGCAAATTTTTGCGGTTATATAATTATCAACATGCTTTTTTGATCTTGCATATGGATTCTGTAATTGAATTTAAATAAATGAATATAAGTGCTTCACTGTTTTTTTTGTGAAAAAAATATATAAAGTCCAATTGTTTTCAAGTCCAAAGCGACTGCTTATATAAAGATAATATAATCTTTGATAATTATTTATTGCCATTCAAGTAAATAAAATTGATTTCAGCCTGGATTTATGTTTAACCTAGAAACATATTGTTGAGACTTGGTGATGGAATTGGAATCGAGCGATCAAAATGCGCCTATAATTTAGGAATCCAGGTGGAAGCCGTCCCACATCCTCCGAAGCGTCTTCTAAGAAGTTAACAGGTGGGGCAGTTCGATTACAGCCATAAATTAAATTAAATTAAATTGTTTTATTTTTTCGAGAAAACCCGCCAATTTCATATAAATAAACTTTGGGGGAAGTGAAAAATATGCGCAAAGAATACTTTCAATTTTCCTTTTTCACAATTTCCCAAGCTCTGGTTAATCTACAACTTAAAATAATCTTCAGGAAAGCGGATAAAATGTAATTTAGGTTAGCTTGGAAATAGCTTATTCAATGTTTAAAGGTTATTAATAATAATAATATTATTATTATTATTATATCAAATGGCAGGCGTTTTGATTGCTATCATTAGCCCTTTAGTTGACTTCAGACTTCACAGAGGGGAGGAGGAACATCAAAGTGTAAAAAATTCAAGATGGGGGGGGGGGGAAGACCCGGGTTCAATTCCTGGTCGCGGAGCCAGGGATGTGCGATAGACTTACCTCCACGGGGTGCACCCTAGACAATGTATATTCATACGGCAAAAAAGTCTATTGACTGGCAGTTGACTTCTCACTTCAAACTACCATTACCTCACTCTATGCCATATTCGACTATTTCCACAGTACTCACCTCACCTTTGTTCTACCTTTGTGCTTGTCTCTTACATCTTTGAAACACTCTTCTGTTCCCCCCCTCTCGACTTTTTTCAATTTGATGTTCCTTCCCCTCTGTGGCTAATGATAACCATCAAGACGCCTGCCATTTGATACAATAATAATAATAATAACTTTTAAAGGTAAATTGCAATTGAGTCTCAATAACTATTGTTCAGAATTAATATTGGCAGACTAAAATGACTGGATGTAAGTGACGACACCTGATGGATGTAAATATATCTATTACTTCTAAACTCTGAATTAAATTCATTATGGTCTTTTTTCAGCATTGAAATACACCGAATCTAGACGAAAGTTTGTTTGATTTTAAAGCTGAAATAGGATCAGTTTTCTTCCTCATAATAACTATCAACAAGCCTGCCATTTGATATTAATATAAATTTCTTCTTCAATGGCGATAGTAAGCTAATTAAAAAAATGAAAAAATATTGAGAAAATAAAAGTCTCGTTATTCATAGGTGAAAATCAGAATTGCTTAAAATGAAGCACTTTGCCTCAATTTCAAGTAAAATCATATTTTACTGCTGTCAAAATTGTCACAGCCGAAAATATTTCCCTCTCAAGGTAAATAAAGAATTAAAATATCTATTAAATATTTAAGTAATGATTAGTTTAAAGACAAAATTACACATTTTATAGAGTTATTTTAAGGTATCTTTGTAAGGTTCAACACAAATTGCTTTGTTTCACTTTTAATAATGTAATAAAAATTAAGTCATTTAAATTGTTTTTATTATTTCTTTATTTTTTTAGTAGATTTATTCTAATGGAATGAATAAATTATTTTAAATTGACGCAACTATTTCGCCCATTCATCTATTTTAAGGAACAAAGGAATGGAACAAAGGGGAGCTTTTCTTGGCTTACCCGGAACGATGTCACCAAAGCCAATCGTTGACAGCGTGACAAAGCAGAAATACGACCATCTGATGTAATCTTGCTTTTCCCACATGCTGAAAACTGTGGCTCCAATCAGAATGTAGATGAACATCATGCACAATGTCAGACTGATTGGTACATTGATCTTCCTTTCCTCTGTTTGTGGTTTGGGCACATTTTGAATGATCAACTTCCTTTTGACCCCATTCACACTCGGCCCATTAATAATGGCGCTTTTCATTGAAACGTTATCATTTCCAACTTGAGCCAACATTTTCTTCACATGTCTATTCGTCGAGTCCAAACTAGTAGATTGGGGTATAGCTAGCTTATTGCCAGGAGTAAGGTGATGGCTACTTTCAGATGTTTTACCGTCACCAGCCGCAGCTACTGCATTTCGTCTCAGCTCTCTTAGGCTCCGTGATGAAACGGAACGCTTTAGATTTCGTGGATTTTTTCCTCTGGATTGTCCACGTGCTCTGGTGCTTTTAGATCGTTTCAGCACGCGTGAGGTCTGGGGAGATTCTTCACTTCTCGTCGTCTTATAGGAATGAAGTGAGGGATTTCCTCTTAGATTTCCCGAATCATTCGACGCTGTCGAGCCTCTTCGATTCAAACGCGATACCGATGCATCGAAATTGGCAATTAGCGCTAGTGATTGCACCGAGTTATATATTCCAATCTTCGTTGACGAGCGTCCTCGTCGCCGCTTGAGCATTCGGAAGATGGGTTTGCATCCTCGAGCATATGCCAGACGAAAGAGTGAAGCCATCATGTCACCGGTTTTTGACAAATAACTGAAGAACAGTGGTATTCCGATGACTGCATACATTATCGTTAACAATTTGCCATACTGTGTCTGTGGCGTAACGTGGCCATAACCTGAAAGGGCGAAAAATTGATAATTCATTTACTACCTAGACAACCTTCATTCAGTCAACATGATTAATGATGGAAAATGTCAGATTTTATGAATGTTTCACATTTGTGGGCAAATACAGAGATGTGGCTTATACAGTGTTCCTTTATGTTGGATTGTCTTCACCATTGGCAGCAAATGCGAAAACCCCTTGTGAATCATCTCCTCTCAAGGGGGTCAATGACGCATCCCCAAGCTGCCATAAATGGCTTGAATTGACTCAGGACAATCAAATATAATATTGACACGAACATGTAAATTGGGAGCAAAGCACTATCATTCACGTCATCTACCTTGAAAAAAATTGGAAACATGGTAATCGAGGTGACTGGATTAGTAAGACGTACTAATAATTTTCAAGATGGCTCAAGGAATGCCTTCAATAGACAATCTAACACCTTTACTAGATCTATAAACTTACGCTAGACAAACTCAATTTTCGGAGGAAGGATACGTCACTCGTACGACTCATGTAGATAGAAATTCCCCTCATTTCTAAACTGAACAGATCGAAATATAATCAGAATATTCATCTACATGGAAGCGTGTTGCACATTAAACTAGACCAGACATGACCTTTGACTGTGCAGTTTGCAACATTAATAAGCTGAAGAGAAAGCGATCTTAGGTAAACTCATTACACCTAAGACATTAACCTACACCTCAGATTTCAAGGCCAAATTATTCACTCTCCTAACACAACGAAACTTCCGTCACTCTGCATATGGAGTTGATTCTCAGTATCGCCTTAAAAAAACATTCCGCAGTGGGTAATGCAGAAGAAAGCAATTAGAAATTCGAGTTGATAATATGCAAAATGATAGGGAGGTTGGCACCTCCCTATCAATACCTATCTGCAGATAATTTGAGAATTTCTAAAGCCCCTCAATTTTAAATTTAAATATTAAAAAATTTGAAAAGTATTTGAAAAACTAACAGTAATAAATCTGTAGTGAAACTTTTTTTCTAAAATATAAAAAGATAAAGAGCAAAATTTTGAAAGATAAAACAAAAATGCCTTAATAATTCGGAATTTAAACAAAGTGCGCTATGGTGAGCAATGGGTCTAGACGCATAAATTAGAATTATGGTGACTTTTTTTAATTTTTAGTATCATTTTGTAATTAAGAAAGAACGTTCCGCCAATAATCTCGGAATGACGATTTATTGCATATTTTCCACCCAATTTTAAGTTTCATAATGCGTCTAAATACAAAAAATCAAAAGGACAATTTTAGGAAATTGACAATCCGGTGAAGTGGGAACACTGCACTACTCATGAATCTCCTTCCCTTATCCAAAGGAGTGCAATGAATTTAGAAGTGTCAACTTGAGGGAAGAAACTAATAACTAATAAGAGAGTTCAGAAAAATGATCGAAGAAGGGACAGAGATTATAGTCGATGCCACAATAAAACATCCCAAATTGAACAATAGTGGTTAAGTAAGCAGTTCAATTTTGCAAATTCAGTTTACCACGATGTGTTCCCTTTTTCAAGGGGTTGCATAATAACCTCGCAGTGTACAGTTATAACATGGCAGGGATGTCCAATTGTCCAATAAATTAAGCGCACAAACCTATCAGCTTGATTGTATTTTTTCCTGACATCGTATCTTTCCGATTCACTTAAGCAATACGAAGCCGTATGAAGTACCCCCATTAACGTCCTTAGGACCGCAAGAAGACGCTATTGCCGTTTGAAACACGTTCAGTGCGTATCTGTAGCCTTTTCCTTCACGTCGGCGGCAACAGTCTGCTGTGAGACACGCGTGAGTGCGGTTGGGCGCATTTTTCAAAATCAAATTCTGCCGAAAAGGGTTAATCCAAACTTTTGAAGTGATCGTGGCTCACTCCGTGCGGTACTGACAGAGTCAAAGTCGACATCAATGTGAGTTTTTTGTGTAAAGCTTGGTTAATTTTGTGAAGTTACTAATAATAGCGTGATAGGAAGGCGTAGGTTTAAGCTTGTTCTGAACGTCTGAAAGAATTTAGGATCAGTTATTCCCCTCAGTGAAAAGGAAGGTAATTAACCATATTCAGTTTAAAGAAATAAAACGCTAATTGAAATACCATTACTTGGTGGCACAAAAAGGTAACAACTTTTGCCAGAAATCGCTGGGAAAAAGTATTGATGTTTCAAATTACCATTTCATGATTAAGAAAATCTAAGTACACATGATAGCTGCACCTCTTTTTACCCGTGAATAATTTAGTTGCCTCGGATGGGGATGATTTTGCCTCTCCCCGAGAATGGGTCATATATATTCAATAATTTAACATCGAATCTAATGCTGACAGTTGAAAAATCAGATAATGATCCATTTAGCCTGTAAATGTTTCATAAGGACATCAGTTAAAGAGGGATATGCTTTTCTGTTTATTTCTATTGTGCACTCTTCTAACTCAAATCAGTAAAACTATTTGTCTTTTTTTTCTTTGCTTTAACTAGAACTAAGCTAAAGTACGGTTTCTTGAGAAATGACACACTACCCCATGAATTGTATCGTGACCCCCCCCCCCACTTTATCGACTTCACTTTCAAGAATGTTTTGAGTTATTCCAAATGGCGGGCGTTTTGATAATTATCATTAGCACTTTAGTTGACTTCGGGCTTCACAGAAAGAAAGAGGAACATTAAAGTGGCAAAAATTCGAGAGAGTTGACAAAATAATGATTCGCAGATATAAAAGAGAAAGACAGACACAAAGGTAGAGAGCATGGGAAGGTGAGTATTGTGGAAATGGTCGAATATGACATACAGTGGGTTCATGATATTTTGAAGTCATAAGTCGACTGCCGGTTTATAGACATGAGAATACGTTACCCAGGATGCCCCTCGTGGAGGTAAGTCTATCGCACAACCCTGGTGACAGCGGCGGGTTAAATAAATAAATAAACTTTCAAGAATGTTCTTAGTCAGTCTACTCTAACAGACTTAGAAGTTGCCCTCAGTCTCTATTGGCGGTCATGTTTTACGATATTTTTGTGCCCGAATTCACAATGGACAATCCTTTGTTTCGGCTTAAATGTAAGGCCAGGCTTTAGTTGTTCTAGTTGAATCTTACTACTTGCACATGCCAGGAGAGGTCAAATGATCCATCTTATTGGTATAAACTTGATAGCTCACACAACAAATTAAGAATGTTTTCTGCCTATATATTTTCCAACGACTAAAGGGTTGTTTTGTTTAATGTCAAGTTAAATATGGCTCAGAGTACTTATAAAGTTTTCGCATGTCTCGACATGGCCGGAGGTATCTGATTTTAAACTTTAAATGCCCTTCAGGACTTTACGACCCTCCATTGGTACAACAGACTCGTAACAGAAGTGGCGCTATTGCCGTTTGAAGCATGCATTCAATGCGTCTTCGTCAGATACCACCGCCAAAACGCATCACTGCGGCGGCCATGGCGGTTTCAGTTTGCTGCTGTGAGACACGCGTGAGTGAGTTTAAATGCATTTTTTGTTTAAAAAATATATAATTAGGGCGTTAAATGTCTAATTGATATAATCTGCGTAAACCGGAAACATGGACAATTTGAATGCCAAAATTTTTAGATTTAAAGCTGGCTTCGATCAAAATTACAAACTTGAGAAATCTCATCAGTCAAATTCCTAAATTCCTAGAATTTCAGAGAGAGAGCATTTCACCTTCTCTCAACCATGTTGAAATCTATTTGTGAAGTGGGTAACATGGCATAGAAAATGTATCATGGAAAGGGACATATGGTTCGAGGTAAAATTCAAGTAAAAGTTTTTTGACTAAAAAGAAATCCTGATGTTCTAATTGCTGTAATTGGACATTTTGAAAATTTTCCTTTTTTATTACGGAGTGATATATTGATGACTCACTTCAATTATTGCTCGTGTCTTTTCTAAGATCAATATCTGATCGATTTATCGTTAGGGGACTAGAGTTCAATTTTGGGGTGTGCGATAGACTTACCGTCACCTGGATTTCTTGAAAAAAAATTGAATATAATACATAAAGACCATCTGCATTTATTCCCACCTTCACGAGACTGGAGGTGTTATTTCAGTTATAAAACAAAGACAGATTGAAGACCAACTATTTTTCTGCCAACATCACGTCAAATAGGCATTAATATCTTCAAATTTTGATCTTCCAAAGCCTTGTTTATGTACATACAGGAGTGCAAGAGGCTGTAACAATTTGTAAAGGTCCACTTCATACAAGTTCGCCTAGAAGTATCTCCTCCCATCTACACCTCCAATTTTCGCCCTTTATTATGTCGACTGGAGCTGATTTGAAGGTCCACAGAATTCCCGGCTAATTTCATTTCTACAATGAGACTCGAGACAATCTTTTCAAATTTCGCACATGTACTCTTACAAGATGTGGAGATAGGTTGCAAAATGAGTATCGTTGCAGTGCTAAGGTTACCTTCCCCGTTTTATCAAAAAGATTTGTTTTTTTTATTTTACCGCAGATTTATTTAAGGCATAATGCAACCAGTTCATATACTAATTACTAAATTACTCCGCGTAACTATTTTGCACTGTTCACGCAACTATTACTTAATTATATTAAAAGGTTATAATAGAATATTTTTTTTAGGATACGGGGAAACATACTTTAAGGCCTATTTTTGCTGATAATACTTTTCATTTCGAGGCAAGCGGTATTTGAGTGCTCGAATTTCGAATGAAAAAAAACTCAAGATATCTCGTGTTTCCCTTTTTTGATCCGTAATCATAAGCCTTGTATCACCACACCACTGGTGGTATAGTCGTGAAATGAACATTTCGGATGCTTAAATCAATTAAATATCTTCTCAAGAAAAAAAATGTATTTACGAACTAAAGACACTGTTGCATACTGTAAACTATAGTACTTCAAAAGACCTCTTTTTCAAATTCCATCTTGAAACTCAATTTAATATAACAAATTT